TATCTTGGGCTTCACTCTGCCAAGGAGTTCCTTCATCTCTTAATCAATCTGAAATCCATTCCCAATAGTACCTTACTTTACAGTGGCATTAGGAAGTTAAAAGCACTGATCTGTAAAGAGCATGTAGAGATCTTAAGGTGCTATGTAAATCCTTGAACAAAAAAACCTATTCATTTGCTTATTCCCCACTTCCAAACGTAGGCCCTAGTTTAACAAAGCATACAAGTTAACGCTTAAGTTGAAGTAGGTGAACAACCAAAAGGCTTAAAATTTTTGAGGGACTGGAGTCATAATTCCCTGACACCAGGTATTGGAAATACTCCCTATGGCAGCAAACATCTAAAGTCCTACCCCGTAAGAATTACTCTCAAAGTGAAACAAGGAGTTACTTAGTTTCCTTTAACTCTATTTCTCTAAATGTATTAATTAATATTTTAATGTGCAGCCAAATTCCCAGTTTTTTTGATATTTGGGGGTGTGGGTTTGTAAAAATATAACGTTCTACTAACTTCCCTCCTGCAAGCTACTAATAGAGATTTCTGATCTCTCCAATTTAATAATTATTTTTCTGGGATTGATACTTGCTGTTCCAAACACATTCATTAAAAATGAAAGTTTTATTTGTTTTGGCTTTCATTTAGCTTTCAGCACAATCTCTGTAATAAGATTAGCTGGGACAGTGCTGAGAAGAACATTAACGTTGCTTTTTAAGGGTATGTTTTAAGGGTATGAGTGAGCTGTTTGTTTTTGTTTGAACACAGTGGCCCTGACATGCAGCCAAATATTTTGCAGTAGGACCTCAGCAGGTATGTTCACTTTGTTATTTGCATTCTGAAAGACTGTTTCATTTCCTCATCACAGGGAAAAACAGCAATGTACATTTCTCAGGAATAAATAAGACACAGAAAACTATAGGAGGAGTTTGGGAAACAAGGGCATATTTGTATTCCAGTAACCTATACAAGTGTTAGATAAGTAAAGGGACAGAAAAAAAAATCTGAGGGCCATTCACAAGAAAGGCAAAAGAGCAGAGGAGGTTGCTCAGTGCTTTCCCCAGAATCAGCCAGCAACCCATGCATTGTGCAGTATGTTATACAAATGCAACAGCAGGAGTTTGCCAGAGAAGGAAATATGGCTCCAAGTCCCTTCCTGCTTACCCACTTAATATAGTGAGAAGTAATGCTGATCACTTATATCTGATGTAAATTCCACCACTCGCTCCAGCATATTTGCTCAGCTCTCAAAATACTGTCCATCTTACCTGCACCAGTTGGAGTGCAGTAGGTGGCTACATAGAATCTCATATCCATACCTGAGGTCTGAAAAGGCTGTAAAAGTAATTCTTGTAATTTAAGTGGACAGAGGCTGGGACAGAATGCAGCCCTGTGATTATGATAAATCAAAGGAAACTCTCTTCCTCCAATGCTACATATACACGTATTTTTCCATTTATGTTTAATGCACTGAGAAATGCTTTTGAATTGGACAAACATTAACAAAAGTCAGTATTATTAAACTGTACTGGGAGGATTCTGTCAAGACTGTACAGCTGTGGTAGCTGACTTTTAAGGCTCTTAATGTCTCTGGTTCAAATTCAGCACAGCTTTTGGGAATAGAAACGTTAAGGTGGCATAAAAAGCAGTGCCATAAATTTTGGAGACATCTGTTTATATCACATACTAGTCTTAAAACTAATTTTAAATCTCAGGCTCAAATCTATAATTTAATTTCTTTTCTATTTTTCTTGTATGGGTTTTCTGAGTAAATGTTAGTGATGCTGAAGGCAAGCTTCTCTGAGTAACAATGACAATATACTGTTCTTTCATATTTTTTATTCGTCTCTAATAAAGACAATATACAAGTGAATTAAACTGGAAGTGCCAACCACATTTTTACTTAAAGAAGATAAAAGTGAAGATGTTAGAGATAAAAAAGTTTGTGTAAAAATTGGGAATCTTCCTAACAGAGCTTGCTTTTCAGACCTAGCGCTACTTCATATGTAAGCCACTTCTGAAGCTAATAAGAGCATGCTCACTGAGGGCTGCTAGAGAGAGAGTTTTGTATGAGCTTGGCTATAAAAGAGATAGAAGGCTTGTCTACATTGTGGCAACAGCATGTCCTGGCGAGGCTGTTCCCAAAAACACCTTGCCCATGTATCCACAGGTATACTCCGAACTCTGAAACACACTCAGTCTCCAAACTCTGAAATACATTTGGCTACTGGCATATTTCTGGGTTTCGAGTATGCAAATGGGAGTGGGTGGCTGGGGCATACTTGGAAATGTTCTGTCTGGTGTAGGCTGCTGCTACATATGCAAAATGCAATATATATCTTTTCGATCTGGAAATGTGAAAATGTCCTGCTATTCATCATTTATCTGCTACAAGAAATGCTAAAAAATGAACACTATTACCCATACAGCTGACATGTAGGGAAGAATTACAAGGAAGGGAGTGATGTATACAAGTCATAACCTCCATCCCCATAACTCATGGCAGCAACTAGACACAGTCCTTTTTGACAGTGCTTGATAGTTTTGACAGGTCACTGCTGGTAGATATTAGAATTCTATCAGACTACAATAACTTTCTTTAAAAAATAAACCAAAGGCCCTGAATTTTTTTTTGTTAATGTTCTATAACTGGATGCATATTCACAATGAATACTTGACATATATTGTTTCTGTCTTTCACATATCTAAATATCTAATTTAAAATGAAAAGTAGCAACAAAACAAAGCTAAATTGAAAGCTATAAGAAACTCGCTTCACTACTCTCCCACATCCAGTCACCTCCCATCAGGCGCAATTCCTGACTTTCTTTTTGGGCAGCACTGGCTTTGAAAAGGTTGAGCATGTCTCTGTAGCTATGTAAGTGCAAGCAAAGATTAGAGGAAAGCTGCAGCAAGTCCTTTGATGCAACTTTATCTATGGCTTTACCATGAGCCATAATATCAAAACCAAACTTCAGCTCAGGGTACACCGAGTTCATAGGTTTACTATCACTTCTTCAGTATTTGCAGGTTTGCTGCTGATTCTGTGCTTCATTATTCACAACTAATTACATTTCAGGTCTACATGAATCCACTTTACCTACTATTACCTAATATTTTAAGTGGTTACATTTTATAAATGTAAATCATAATAAGTTCTGAAGCTTCTATGTGCCACTGCTAGTTGTCCCCAGGGAACGCACATTCCCATTTGTGGGGATGCACCCTTTATGTTCTACTGCTGCCATTTCTCCCGGTCCTGGGAAAACAGAAGCTCCTACCTGCTTGCTGCTTAATGAACACATACAAAGTACTGATGCGACTTGTAAGGTGAGATATTCAATTGTCAGTCCCTCTGGCTAGTGTCACAGATTATCCCTTTCAGAATATTATGAAGAAATCAGAGGACAATTGCAGAATAAGACCTCAGTTCCCTAACACAGAGTTTGAAATTGAGCATGTCTTTCTCTGGTATTCTGCACAACTCTAACATTCCCTCCAGGGGAGGCAGATATCCAGAATTTCAAAGGATATTGCCAGGAAAGATCTACAAATGATTGTGAGTCAATGACTTAAATACAGTCCCAATTTGAGTCTGATATTGTTTTTTCTTGACCTAACTTGCCTAAGCAGCTGGCCATAAAATGGTAATCAGCTCAGGGTTTTCCAGGCCAAATCAGAGGTTGCTTCATATGTGATGAACCACTCATGTCTAATCGAGACTCCAGATTTGGATTTTGAGACAGCTGGAAACTTTTATTAAGTACTGGCGCTCTTTAAAACTTTATTTGGACTGAGTGAAACTGCATCAGCTTAAAAGAAGGTAAAAAAAACTGAAGGATTTTAAAGCTCACTCAGAGAAAACTAATGATATTTTTACCAACATAGTGTGAGCACACTCAGCAAAATTTGTCTGAGAACCTAAATTAGTAATCTATGTTAGAACATGACAGAGGCCTCACATTATTCTCATGTAAATTTTCTTACAGACGCATGTGCTTTACTGCAGAATAGACTAATGAGCTCCACAGTAAAGCATCACCGTGCACACATCTGCCAGTATTAGAGTGCAATAAACTAATTAAGTCTGCCCTAAGGTAATACTGTTGGGGACAGTACTATCTCACATTAGAGTAAGTAACTGCACTGAAACATGTGTAGATGGTGACAGGGCTGGTTGGGGTACAAGAATGCTAAAACACAGGGGCTGCCTACTGCCTGGCCACACAGCTCCACACTCTCAGCACCGGCATGCCCCAGCCAGCTCCTCCGACACTCAGCGCTGCCACCTGGAGCTCAGGGCTGACTCCCGCCTTGTCCCCTGCTAGCCTGGGCCTGCTCCACCCCAGCTCAAATTGCTGCTGTCCTGGGTGCACGTGTAGATGCTACACCTGGCAGAAGTTTCCTCTGGCTCAAACGGCTCCCAAGTTTATTGCATTGTGTTAATTGCATATGTAGCTGCACCCACAGAGTAATATTTAAGAGCACAGGTTAGAGTTTTCAGAAATAGAAGCCTAATGTTATATTCCTAACTCCATTTATTAGCACTTCAATGCGTGACCAATATTTTGAAACATGACCTAATTCAGCAGGCCTATATATTTAATAATTTTGGACAATATTTCTCAGGAAGCCTGACTCAGTTCCTTCTCTGTTCTTGGCTGAAATCAGATGTTGTATATGAATTTGTCCATACAATATGTAGAAAAATTCATTATGAACACCTAATTTTGTTGTGTTCACAAGTTGGTATGGATTCAGAAGCATTTATAGACAATGACAACCTCTTCCCCCCCAAAAAAAACCCAAACCAAACAACTGAAAAACCAAAACAAAATCCAGTCTGCTGCTAACGTTCACTTACACGAGAATAGATATGGTACATTATTCCTAGTGGAGTGACTCTTTAATAAACGGTTAGTGGATGAAGCATGGCAGCTAAACTAACATTTATCAAAAGGAAAGCTTCCCAAACTCTTGCAGGGGTTGATACAGTTTGCCACTTACATCTGTGATCATTTTCCCTCTGGTCTTGTTTCTTTCCCTGTGGTTGGCCCGTTTCTGTTTCTGCTGTAAAACTCGTTCCCTGGTGGTGCGATATTCCAGAGCGAATTCACTAATAATTTTGCAGAATTTATTGATGTTGACTTCACGGATCGCATAGGGAGGGTGGCCCATAAACAATAAAAATGAGTGGAACCTAGAAAGCAAAATGAATCAAAATTTTGAACAAGCTTCCTAAAAAAGATTCTAATGATGAAATAAAAAAAACTTTTAACATTTCCATGACAATCAATTTCACTTGATCCCCTTATTGTTTTATGAGCTCTTCTCATTTGTTTCCCCATGCTGAAAAGTTTTCATGGATGCCTTAAAATATTACTGGCATGGTTTATAATTAAAAACATATCACAAATAAAAGACTAGTTGACAATAACTTCATCTCAGCTGAGTTTCCCATGCTGATAAAAGAGATAAGATGTTTACAAAATCCTATTCATTTTATGTTACTAATTTGGCATATGAATTAACAATTTCATTTCAGTTATTGAACAAAATATTTATTATGTTTTAACTCCACTTGTTTGTATTAAGCAACTTCAAAGAGACTATTAGGATGTTGGGGAAAGTCTAGACAAGACGAATTAAGATTTACAGACTAGAAGCACAGGAATAAAAGTATTTCTGGTTCATCAAAATGACCAGAAATGTTGTAACATCCAAATACTTCAGCTCAGGGTACACTGAGTTCATAGCTTTACTATTGCTTCTTCAGTATTTCCAGCTTTGCTGCTGGTTCTGTGCTTCATTATTCACAACTAATTAAATTTCAAGTGTACATGAATCCACTGTACCTACCTTTATGCTAATAAAAATAATTATAACAATGGAATTGAAAGATGTGATGAAATGGAAGAAATATTTTGGAGAGGACTAACAATATTTTAACAGGGTGGCCAGTCCCCTTAAGAGGGGGCAGCCAGCCCTTGTGAGTGGCTGCAGCTGTGGGGAGATTACTGAGAAAGAAGTGGCTCACTGGGAGCTTAAAAACCCCAGAGATGAGAGCACTGGGACAGCAAACCGTAACATGAGAACAATATGAGAGAGAGATGGGCTGAACCACTGCTGTGCAAGGGCCAGAGCCAAAAGGTACCCTCCCAGTGTCCGGGACAGGACAACCAGGTTTTTGTTTGCTTGTCTTATTTGGTTGAAGACTACTGATTGGCATGAACTAGCTGAGGAGATCTTGAGAGAGCAAGAGTCTTCCTTGAGAAGTCCACAGGCGAGGTGACCCACTTACAAATATATTATTGAAAATATCAAGTATGGGGATGAATCCACTGTTATTATCCTATTACAATATATGTGATACATCCAAATGAAAACTTGTGATTTCAACATTCCTTAGCTGCAGCTAGGGTACAATTTACCTGGGTGTGGATGAGAATTCATTAAGAAGAAAATAGGCTGGATCTACACCTTTGATTTGTTCATTCACAAGTTTAGGACTGTTCAAATTCCAGAGCAGAGTTGAAACCCATAGACTGTATGTGTGTGCAGTAAGTATACAAATACATTGCCTGCATATAGTTGGTATCATCTCGGTCGGCTTATAAAACTAAATTTACAATTATTATGTTAGCATAGGCATCTCAGAGTACTTTAACTAGAATGTAATGCCAATTATTCAAATGGGATGAAACAGTAATTCTTAAAGAAAGAAAAGGCATGATTCTGTCTTCTGGAATGCAAGCTTGAGACACCTGTTTATGGATAGAGTACAGGTCTTTGTGCATTATTAACTGCACAAGATATGTACAGTAGCTATTCCAAAGATAGCTACTGTATTCATCCTTTTCTATGGCAAATGCCTCATTAAAGATGAAAAAGATTTGTCTTCATAGAAACTTCAGTATTTTGCCAAAGGTATTTTGTCCTATTCTTGTCTATAAGAATGCAAGCCAATCTCCCCCCACAAAAGGTATTTGCTAAAAAGTAGTAAATACATAATCATCTTCCCAGCATTCTCCACTTGTGAAATCCTGGCCTAATGCAGTGCCAGGCATTTATAGGTGCCCCAGAAATCAAGAAAAGAGAAAATAATTGCTGAGTTTGTTGCTTTTGCTCAGCAGAAATACAATATTTGGTAGAATTCAGGAAATATTTGGAACAAATGAGCATCTCTTATCAAGCCTTCATAACAGATATCTTGGTAAATGCGCTTGTGAGAATGTGTCTTATAGAGAGTTTTAAATAAATCACTGATGTTCCCATCAATGCCCTACTGCTGTACCTGTTAATTATTCTTCTATGAACAATCTTGAGAATTATGATTCTTTCCGCACAGTCTTTAAGAAACTCAGACATTTTTTGCTTCAGCATTGGCTTCATTTCATGCTTTGCTATGGCCTTGAGATGATCCCATGATGCTTTGCACCTTCTTTCCATCTGGCATAAGTTGTCCTGAAGTTGTTCAAAATCAACCTGAAAACAAATGAAAATTTCAGCTATTTTGACCTCAAAACTTACAACACTGACCTTGGGCATCTAAAATGTATAGCCAAGATACAAAAAGTGACTGAGATAGTACTGCTTAGTTATTAACACATATCCCGTTTCCTACCATCCTGTGGGCATGTGAAGAAGAAATGACTGTACTTGTTTTTGGTATACAGACCCTATAGTCATCCTGTTCCACATGCTAGGCATGTCTATATGAGTAAATGTTGTGCATTTACATGTGCAGAGCTATTAGACTGCAGCAAACTAATAAACTATGTAGCAAGTTAGTACTTGTAAACAGAAGTACTATCCTGCTGTGGAATTTTTTACTTTGCAGCACCACATGTGTAGATGCAGAACAGGGTGCAATTGTGCCCAGTTATCTCAGGCAGCAGAAGGCGACACTCCTGTCTGCTGATGAGCCACATGGCCGACCGCTTTATTGGTGGTGCATATTGGGGTTGGGTCGAGGGTCTGTTGTTAGGTTGGAGGAAAGAAGGGGGTCTGTTGTTGGGAGGGAGGGAAGGAGCAGGATCTATGGTTCTTGGGGTTGTACTGTGGGCTTGGGGCCTGTGGGTGGCTGCCCAGGGACCCTATTGTGGGGGGTGGAGGAGGAGGTGGTCAGTGACCACCTTGTGGACATGGTGCTCTGGCCACCACTGCCAGAGGGGGAGCACAAGGAACATCCATGACATGCCAGGCACAGTCTCCTAGGACAGCATTCTGGAGGCCTGTGTCAGCAGGCGGCGGACTGTTTGGGGCGACGGAAGCATGTGGCTGGGGACCAAAGCATGGGGTAACGTTTGACAGAGTGGGTCTAGCATCTGGGCATCTGCAGCCAGTGCCTGGACCTCCTTCAGCTGCTGCAGGGGGCAGAGCAGGGTAGGAGCAGCCCTGGCCTAAACTGCTCTGCCCTGGCTCAATTTGCTGCTGTCCTGAGCACAAGTGTAGATGCTGTGCCCAGGAGTAGTTTACTGCAGAGCAAAATGCTCTGTAGTTTATTCAGCTGCATTAATTGCATGTGTAGATGCGCCCAGTAGGTAGCAGACTAAGGTACTTAAGTGCAATTCTATTCTACCCTGTTAAGTCCTTGAAAAACTATCAATAGAAAAGGTGGGTGGGTTGTTTTCTTTGCTGCTTTTTGTGACTTAGTCTTATGGGGCAGATGACATTATTATTACAAAAGTTGTTGCATTAATCAATTTCCAGGGATTTGAACAGAGTGCAATCATCCACTTAGACACCGAATAGGTGGAATAGAATCTGGTTTCTACTATCAAAAGAATGGAAAATATTTTAAATTTCTGCCCAGCTTCTATAAAGGGATGTAGTAAAGTCTCCTGTTTGCAGTCAACAGTGCATACTACATAAAACACAGTTTCCCAAACCTGGAAAGCACATGGACATAGCCATTTCTCCATGTATAGTTTTATTGAAAGGTGATGTTCTAAAGTAAACTGTCTGTTCACATGCCAGAACTATATGTTTTATCTTAGGGAAGTGTTATCCCAGCACAAACCTGCATCTCTAGGGATACTATATAACACCATTAGCTAGGAACAAAATCATCATCACAGGTTTCAAAGTCTATGTTAATACAGTTAAGATAAATTATGACATCCTCCAGTAATATTTATCAGGAGAGAAGCCAATAAATTCCACAAGAAGGTGAGCGGGAGGTTGCCGTTTACTCATAAACCAAAAAAAGGTGTTCAAATTGCTCTGGTTTACCAAGGCCACTTTGGATACATTACTAAAACAAGGGCAGTATGTAGCACTGGCCAGCCACTGTACAAGCCATGCATACAGCAAATGGAAAATGTATAAATGCCCAACTTATTCTCCTTGCATTCCCCAGGAAAAAGGAATTTATTTGCAAATACCACTTCAAAGCAGAAATGAGCCCAAGCCATAAAATACAGATTTAGACTCAGATTCCAAACACCTCAGAGTTTGAGGATGCTAGAGTCTGGTATTTTGGTCCATTTTTCACTGCAAAAGGGAAAAACAGAGCTCAACAAGGGTTGGGGGGGGTTCTCTTTGCATGCAGGATAGGAAAAAGCTGCAGCTAGTTGTGTATTCTTTTCAACTTTTCCTATTCTAATCTATCCGTTGGTAGTGTAGTTATTTATTGTTAATTGCCTTTGTCATGAAGGAAAAGTACAGCACCACAATACTGCCGTTAGCCTAAAGGCAATTATCCTACTGCAGTTAGCCTAAAGAAACTGGCCCTGGATACACACTCCCTTTTCACACACAATTTAAGTTTGGGATTAGGATCTGAATCTTCCAAACTCAGTCCTCCCTCTAATGTAGCACATTTACTCACATACACCCCCCACCCCTGAAATTAACCTTTTGAAATTAGGGTGCATGCCTTAAGGGAGGAAGCTGATTTTTCTTCACTGGACTAGAAGCGGGAAGACCTTGTTGCAAGATGCCTGCCATGTCTCTCCCTCACTGTTAACCCTCTCACAGCCACAGCTGCTGTAGTCAGGATTTCCTTCAGTCATCCATGACTGGAAAAATCATTTTTTTTCATTCTGCTGTCCAAAAAAAGAAGGTGCATGTCTTATTGGGGG